ACTTGGCAACGGGGTTTCCCAACTAATTTTCTTCATTGCAGGAAACATCTAAAACCAAGAATGACCCAGAGCTCGAGTCCATCAACAACAAACATATTTATTGTGTGCCTCCCACTAGGGCAGTGGGCTGGGGAATGACGAGTGTGGAGGTGAGCCAAGTTCTGTCCTCTAATTGGGGGTAGAGTGGGGGTGGGGCTCATAAGCTTGAGTGTTTGGAAAGTGTGTCAGGATCATTTACTGTTAACCTTTGAAATACTTTTATGAGTCACAGAAAAGGAAAACTGAATTACAAAATGTGTGGCTGTTTGATGAGTAATTCAGCAAAAGCCTGGAGCATAGAACTCAGCCTTCCTTTTTTCTCCATTCCATGCTAGTGCAAATAGATGCCACAGCCACCTTGGCTCTGCTTTGGCTCTGAACTGCCTTATGTCCTTCGGCCGGCACTTTGGTGATTGCTATGGTCTGAATGTATGCATCCCCACCCCCACCCCCACCCCCCAGATTCACATGTCGAAATCCTAACCAGCAAGGGTGATGGTATCAGTGGGTAGGACCTTTGGGAGATGCTTAAGTCCTATCAGTGGAACCTTTAAGAATGGGATTAGTGCCTTCATACTAGAGGCTTGGAGGGGCACCTGGGTGGCTCAGTTGGTTAAGCATCTGACTTCGGCTCAGGTCATGATGCCCTGGTTGGTGAGTTCAAGCCCTGCATCAGGCTCTGTGCTGACAGTTTGGAGCCTGCTTCAGATTCTCTGTTTATTTTACTTAAGAGCCTGCTTCAGATTCTGCTTCAGATTCCCTCCCTGGCTCCCGGTTTGTCTCTGTCTCACTCTTTCTCAAAAATAAATGTTTAAAAAAGAAGAAGAAGGAATTCTGAGAGATCCCTGGCCCAGTCCTTCCATGTGAGGATGTGATGAGACGTCCACAGTCTGCGGCTGAGAACAGGCCCTCATCTGACCTCACCGACACCCCAGTCTCCGACTTCCAGTCTCCAGAACTGTGAGAACTACGTTTCTGTTGTTTATAAGTCACCCCGCCTGCGGTGTTTTGTTATGCAGCCACACGGCCGAAAACAGTGACCGTCATCAGAAACAAACATAGGTAATAAATAGATCGTGTCATGGTTATGACCTCGAATGAGCTACAGAAATTCACATCACAGAGGGGCACCTGTAGTAACAAAAACAAAAACAAACAAACAAAAAACCCTGTCCATATGTGGCCTTGCTTCCTCTTGACTATTCTGCTAATTTTCCAGATGGTGCTATCCTAACGTTCCCACTGAATTGGGTCCCATCAGATGCGAGCCATGCAGGGCTTGGAAGGGCCACCTCCTGCCCATCCATGGGCCTCACCCCTACACCCCGCCTTGCTATCTGGTACTCTGATCAAAGGAAGAGCCTTGTCTCAACAAAACTTTCCTTCTCTTTTTCCCGAGGCATGAAATTTCATAGGAGAAAAAACACTTCCCACATTAAAAAAAATGCCACAAGGAGAGATGCTGCTTTTTACATTGCCTATAAGATATGTCACAGATACCTTCCTAGGAATGGGTTTTGACCAAAGGGTTGAGAGCCTATTAGGACACTCATGATGATAAACAGGAGGCTTGGAGGGGGAGCAGATGCACCTACGCCGCACTGCCCACACTCTTCCCACACAACCCGGGGGCCCGGGTTCTCCCCTGTCTTTCCAAGAGCTCCCCATCCCAGAGAGAATCAACATGATTAGTATTAACCCTCACATCCAAACTTATAGCAACTTTGTTCCAGTTTTCCTACCTTCTCCCTAGTTTCCCCTCCCTTCCCCGAAATCAAGAGGGCAGGCAGCTAAGGGTTCTCTCTTTCTCTTTTGCAGTGTTTATTACCTTAGTGAAGGACAGAGCATGAGTGGGGGAGGAGTGGAGAGAGAGGGAGACAGAATCCAAAGCAGGCTCCAGGCTCTGAGCTCTCAGCACAGAGCTTGACACTGGGCTCAGACTCACAAACAGTGAGGTCATGACCTTAGGTGAAGTTGAATGCTTAACCAACTGAGCCAGTCACCCAGGTGCCCCTATTTGCACTCAAAGGCTATACCACTCATCAAGATCTGGGAGTGGACCTCATTAGGGAAATACAAATCAAAACCACACTGAGATACCACCTCACGCCTGTCAGAGTGGCTAAAATGAGCAAATCAGAGGACTCTAGATGCTGGTGAGGATGCGGAGAAACGGGCACCCTCCTACACTGTTGGTGGGAATGTAAACTGGTGCAGCCCCTCTGGAAAACAGTGTGGAGATTCCTCAAAATATTAACAACAGAACTCCCCTATGACCCAGCAATAGCACTGCTAGGAATTTACTCAAGGGATACAGGAGTGCTGATGCATAGGGGCACACGGACCCCCATGTTCATAGCAGCACTCTCCACAATAGCTAAAACATGGAAAGAGCCTAAGTGTCCATCAACAGATGAATGGATCAAGAAGATGTGGTTTATCTATACCATGGAATACTACATGGCAATGAGAAAGAATGAAATCTGGCCATGTGTAGCAACATGGATGGACCTTGAGGGTGTTATGCTGAGCGAAATAAGTCAGGCAGAGAAGGACGGATACCATATGTTTGCACGTATAGGTGGATTAGGAGGAACTTAATGGAGGACCATGGGGGAGAAGAAGGGGAAATATAGTGGGGGAGAGGGAGGGAGGCAAACTATGAGAGACTCTTGAATGCTGAGAACAAACTGAGGGCTGATGGAGGGGAGGGGAAGGGGGAGGGGGATAGGCATGGAGGAGGGCACTTGTGGGGATGAGCACTGGGTGTTATATGGAATCCAGCTTGACAGTAAACTATTAAAAAAAAAAGATCTGGGAGTGGAGACTCATATGGTCCCTCTTCATATCTGTCTCAGTGATCAGCAGTCCAGTACACAATCTCAAGTTGGCCGTAGATTTCAGCCAGATCCTAAGCTGTCAGAGATTTTCTAGTCTGGCAACAATGATGACATTTAATGTGTAAGCAGAGAACTACCATGTACAAAGTACTCCCAGGTATGTTTTTTTCACACCAATGTCTGTGATGTAGGCATTATCACAACTTTATTTTACTCAAGGTTATTGCTTTGTTGGCTTAGCATCTATTAACTCCACTTTTTTTCTGATATTAAGAACCCCTGCTCCTGACAAACACATAAAATATATTAGAAAATTAGTTTACCTGACTCTAATGTATGCTTCTGTTAAGAAGTACCAAACTTTTTTTTAAATGTTTATTTTTGAGAGAGGGAGAGAGAAAAAGAGGGGGGAGGAGGGGCAGAGAGAGGGAGACAATCTGAAGCTGGCTCCAGGCTCTGAGCTGTCAGTATAGAGCTTGAGGCAGGGCTCGAACCCATGAACCACGAGATCATGACCTGAGCTGAAGTCGGAGGCTTAAATGACTGAGCCACTCAGGAATCCTTAAGAAGTACCAATATTAATCCTGCCACTCAAACATAGCCCACAGTGTCCTGATTTCTCTCTCTCTCTCTCTCTCTCTGGCCCCCAGATCCAGTCTCTGATCTGTACTTGACTTTGTGCCCTGGGGGGTTGTGCTTGTCAGACCGCCCCTGGGGTCTCCCTGGCCTGAGCAGGTTTGGCCGGTGGCGAGCATCCTCAGCAAATGTGAGAGAGCCAAAGGAGAGAAGGGCTGGGGTCATGAGCACCTGTTCCGCAGCCACCTGCCTGAAGTCGGCCCCTGCCGTGTTCTCCACGGGCACAGCGCTTGCTAGAAGGCACTTCTTGTAGGGCCCCGCACCAGCCCTTGCTCACCGCTTTAGATGTGGGGGTGTAACGGCTTCCCTCCGCTGCAAGTCTCTGAGTACTTCACTGTGCCTAACTGGTTTCCCCAATCCGGATTCGACCTCTGTGAATAATCCCGCGATTGAGTTCTCCTCGGTGAAATTATTTAGAGTGTGCCATTTGTTTCTTACCGGATTTCTGTACCACAGCCAATCTTAGAAACTCATCCTTCATTATCTCAGCAATTCGTCCGAGGGGTGGTGCAAGATCCGGTTCAGACCAACCATATTTCTGTGAAAAAAAAGTACTTTTGTAACCAGAGCTGGTAGAGAAGCCCATTCTCCTAGAATGTTGAAGCTATGAGGATATGTATATGCTTTACGCTGGCCGCCACATCCCCACCTCATGGAAAAAGCCATCCGAATCTTGGTTTTAGGTTCTTGGGTTCTCACACTTCCCTGATTCGCATCTTTCAAATAGCTTCCTCATTGTGTCTTAGCCAGTTTGAGTTGGCTTCTGTTACCAGCAACCATTGCAACGAAGGCGGTTATTCAGTTAGTGAGTGGGAGGGTTGGAGTTCAAACTCCAGCCCTCTGCCTCCAAAGCTGATACTCTTGGGCAGATAGCCCATATTCATAACCGTGACCCAGATGCCTCCCCAAAGCCCACCACAGCTCTGGAAAGTGCCACCATTAAAGATCACTCCTATGGGAAAAGGCATATTGTATCTAGGAGTTACCCATGTATCATAGCATGATACAGACATAAATGCATTTTGAATGGTAAGATTATGTGAAAAGTCTGTAGTAACTAAAAGCTGACCAATTAGGTCATATCTTTAAGATATGAGGGGCTTTATACTGAAATAAATCTTAAATCCGTTTGTAAAGCAAAGAGCCTCCATTTGTCTTCTATATAAGGCCAGATTTTCTCTCATACGGGTGTTGTATGAGCCCTCAGTTTAATAAACCACTTACAGGATGGCTCCCTCCCAAAGTACTTCCCAGCTTATCACTGACAGGGGATGGAAGGATTTGTCTCACTGGGTGCCTCAAAAAGGAGGTGTCCCTTGGAGGTACTCCACTCTGTTAAGACAAGTGGAGTTGCTGAATCTTGTCTAGATACTGATAAAAAGTAACTAAGGGAAGTTTTCACAGAGAGTTACAAATCACTGTAGTCCGACTAACAAGGTGGATTCCAAAATAGGGTGCCTATAACCTAGATTAGAGGAAGGGTTCTCAGGATGTGGGGACCTGGCATTCTCCTTTCTTGTTACCAGTCCTTTGTAGGGTATCTTCCCCAAACTCCAAGAACCTCTTTAACGAGGCAGTATGTTCTTCTTCTAGCCAATTCTTTTGGTATTAACTCATGTCAACTAGCCTCCTGTGCCCACTTGGTGATGTGAGCCGTATTATCAGTTACCATCCAGGAAAGGATATCTCTAGTGAAGATGATGAAATCTTGTCCATCATATGCCTGCTGGAGAAATGTGGTGCTTCTGTGCTCCAGCAACTCCTAGCCAATCATTCTCTGGTAGGTGTGAAACCCTGGCACACACATGCGGCTCACGAAGTGGTTTAGATGGGGACGTGGAGGTGGGCATCCAGGTGATGACTAGGGGAATGGCTGGAAGCATCCTCTGCCCCCAAACACATCACCCCACAGGCATGCCCCCAGGAGGTGCCTGTGACATAAGCCACCCATCAACAGCTGTTTGCTGAGTACCTCCTGCACACCATAGGACTATGATAATGTTTGCCTTGGGGAATTATCCAATCATGGGAATGCCCACTGATGAACTTTATAATGCAGTAAAGGAGGAAAAGATATGCGAGAGCCAGAAATATCCTGGGAAAGTTAACATAGCAAGTCCTTAAACATAAGCAAGCGATTCACTAAGCCTGGATACCAGGAAATGAGACACAGAATGGCCCAGGTTCAGACTGAGAAAGAAGATACAGATTAGGCCTGAATGGGGGTGGCATAGAGATATGGAGAGCAAAGGACAAAGGGCTTCTGAGGAAGAGACCACTTGGAAGATGCTTAGGGCAGGTGGCAGGCACTGAACGCCATCAGGCTTTGCCAAGAGTTCACTGCAGCTCAGCAACCAACTGCTCGAGTTCACTGGTTCACTGTCAGCCAGAGGGAGGCTCCCCGCAGGGGTGGGGGCTGGTGTGGGGTGCGTCCATCTCTGCTGCCTTCACCACCTGAATGGCTGTGCTGACTCTGCAGCTGCTTATGGTCCCCCTTGGAGGTCTCCTGCTGGCCCCTTGGCGGCTGAGTGTAACCCTCCTGATCAGGCATGGGGTTCTCTGCCACCCACAGAGCCCGTGGCTCTTTCTGCCAAAAGACACTCATATGCAATGATGGGATGAGAAATAAATTCAGTGAAATAAACAGTGAAATGCCCAGGTGAAAAGATGTCAGAGTCCCAGTCTCTGCAAAGGAGGCAAAAAAGGAAGATATTCAGAGTTACGACAACACACATCAGTGCTCAGTGTTCAGCTGCATCCCTCCTGGGACCCAACTGCCATTTCCTTTCACAGAATCCCAGAATCCCAGGAGCTGGAGCCTACGGAGGACCTTAGAGCTCCAGCCCAAGACCTGGAGCCTTTCCCTGTCCAGGTCTGGGAACTCGAGGATGAAATTTTCTGGGTAATCTCAACTTGGAAGTGAAGTAGAGGGTCCTGTTCTGGACTTCAGAGGAAGGGCCCGGGGTCACTCATTGGTCCGCCGAGGTTGCCTTACGAGGGCTTGCAAACTCTGATAACCCACCCCCTCCCTCTTTTTATGAATGAAGGCTCTAGGTGGATAAATGAGGGCTCCCACCCTGCCCCTGTGTGTGCATGGGCAGGTACATGTACACACACACACACACACACACACACATCACTCAGAGAACCCACGTAAGGGCTCAGCCTCCTGAGATAAAGTGTTTTTTTTTAAATTTTTTAATGTTTTATTTATTTCTGAGAGAGAGAGACAGCATGAGCAGGGGAGGGCCAGAGAGAGAGGGTGACACAGAATCTGAAACAGGCTCCAGGCTCTGAGCTAGCTGTCAGCACAGAGTCCAACGCGGGGCTCGAACCCACGAACCGTGAGATCATGACCTGAGCCGAAGTCGGATGCCTAACCGACTGAGTCACCCAGGCACTCCTGAGATAAAGAGTTTTGAAAGCACAGTGCTTTTCCTTGCTCTGTGGGGAAGCCTGTAGGGGGTGAGCAGAGCGGGGCCCTCTAACATGGGGGGCCACATCCACATCCAGGGACTTCTCTTGGTTGTCTAGGGACTGTACCAGACACCACCTCCCCAAAATGTTTCCAGATTGCCCTGGCGGGTGCTCTTGTTCCTTTGTGAACTCTCCTAGAACTCAGATCTTCCCATGTGGCCCGTGTCACTGCCGAGAACCTTGGATGGGTGTCAGGCTCCCATTCCCTAGGCTGAATACTATTTAATGAGGTTTATCTTACTCTTTCCTCTTTATTTATAAAGATATATTTAACAAAAAAATATCAGGGTGCCTGGGTGGCTCAATCGGTTAAGTGTCTGATTTCAGCTCAGGTCATGATCTCACCGTTTGTGAGCTTGAGCCCCATGTCTGGCTCAGTGCTGACAGCTCAGAGCCTGGAGCCTGCTTTAGATTCTGTGTCTCCCTCTCTCTGCCCCTCCCCTGCTTGTTCTCTGTTTCTCTATCTCTCTCAAAAATAAACATTAAAAAAATTAAAAAAGAAAAAATCAAATTTAAAAAATCATCTCACAAAGCGGTTAGGTCAACGTTGGTCCATGCAAGTCTATCCATGTTTTCTTTTTTCTAAAACTGTTTCTGAAAGAATTCATGTAGGCTGTCTTTTAGAACTGGCCACCCCAAGGCCAGGATACCTTTACCTTAACTATGAGGGGAGAAAGTATTCCCTGAGGCTGAAACCAGGCCAGCTGGGTCCCCTTCCACCTAATTGCACCAGTCTGGTATGAGCAGAACTCTGCGCTCCTTTCTCCCTGCGCCTCTAGCTGAGTGGGGGGCAGCTTGGCGGGGTTCAGAGTAGGCACCCAGCCCCATAGGCACCTCCCTGGAGGTGATATCCTGCGCATCAGCTGCAGCGCCGAGCAAGGTAGAGCCTGGTCTTCCCTAGGCTTGGGCAGAAAGTAAGGCCCAAGGCCCCTTTCCATGGCTCTGAAATTTTACCTTCCCCTTTTCCTTCCTGGGGCTGGGAGGGGTGGGGGAGGTGAGGGCTGGTATGAAGAAACACTTCTTCTTAAGGAAGACTCTCAAGTTGAGCATAAGAGTCTCTCACCGAAAAAGTGTTGGTTCTTATAAAAATAAGATCCAGAGAATGAGGCAGAGTACAAGTACTACCCCCGAATCAATAGTTACCACATTCTGCCTTCTCTTCTCTTTATCTCCACTTACCTTCTACCCTCTTCTCGATCCTAAAGCACTTGAGCATGGGGACTTTGCTTTTTTCCCTTGTGTTTCCTGCCAAGGCCTACCACAGGGAACTTGGCACATGGTAGGAGATTCGTAAATATTTGTGAATTAAGTTGTTGGCAGAGCATTTTATTTCTCCGCCTTGAAATATGCTGAGATGCAGAGGAATCTTTTTAACCTGGGATTTATATCTTTAAAAATACTTTTCAGAAGGTGCAGGCTGGTGAGTGGGGAGCAGCACTGAAATCTAATTTGCATCTAGTCTGGAATCTGCAAAGGGTGTATGTGCTTGGATCTGCAACCAATTTTGAAACCGAGTCCACTTCTCCACATCTGGAAAGGTTTTGTGGCTACTTTGCCGATATGCAACGGTTTAAAGAGGGAGGCAAAAGGAAGAACAAGTCATGAATGTTAGTTCTCACATCTTCTTAGTATCGATCTGTCTATTCAACAAGCATGTGAGTGCCCCTCCGTGCCAAGCACTGTTCTAGGTCCCAAGCACACAGCAGACAAAGCACATACAAATGTCCGCCCTTGTGAAGACTTCACCCTAATGGAGGGGAGGAAGGCAGACGATGCAAAATACATGAAATATATGTCATATCTTTAAAAACTACAATGGAGAAAAATAAAGTTGCAGAAGAGAGCAGTACAGTTTAAAACAGCGATGCTTGAGAAAGGCATCCCCCAGGTGGCTTTTGAACCAGTGACTGCTGGGAGTGAGAGAGCCAGGCAGGTATCTGGGGACACCTGTCCACGCAGGGGACCGTACGAAGACCTTGAGGAAAGGGAAGGCCTGGCATGTTCCAGGAGCAGCAAGAAGGCCTGTGGCTGGAGCTGAGGGAGGGGGGAAGACTTAGGTAGGAATTGCTTCCACACTCATTCATGGGAAAAAACTGTATAGAAGTCAAATTCCAGGCAAAGAATGGCAGAGAAGGAAGAAGGGATTTAAAATGAGACTGTGTTTCTTTCTTTCTTTTTTTTTTTTAAGTTTATTTACTTGTTTTGAAGGAGGGGAGGGGCAGAGAGAGGGAGAGAGAATCCCAAGCAGGGTCTGTGCTGATGGAGCCCTAAGTGGGGCTCAAACTCATGAACCATTAGGTCATGACCTGAACCGAAACCAAGAGTTGGATGCTTAACCAACTGAGCCACCCAGATGCCCTCAAAGAGACCGTGTTTCTGAGCTAACCTGGATTGCTACAGAACTTCCCTTGGAATCTGGGGTTCCTTTTATGACTTCTGGGGTCTACAGACCCGGGACATGTCAAGAAACAAAACAAACAAGTGTTAGCCACTTGGAACATTCCTGCTCAATGGGAAGATCTAGTCTGAGTGTCACTGATATCATCTCCACACATAATATTTACAATTCGTGTAATTTCGCTTTCTTTTGAAAATATAAACCTTGTAAAAATCAGTGTTCTCTGGAGTTTATAAGAGGGAATTAGAAACAAGTTCTGTTGACAATACTGTCCAAGTACAGTGTGATGTCGTTTTGCCAACCTCAATCTCAATCCAGGTCCTGGTTTTTCTGAGCAGTTTGTCTCCACCAGCCAGGCCAGACTTCAAAGGCTGCTCTGCTCCTGAAGGCTGGCCTCCATCTGCCCGTCATCTGCCTGCCTCCCTCCTGCAGCTGCGGGGGCGTGGCTCTGCTCCAGGACATTGCAGCCCTCTCCCTTTGCCATGGGCCCACTTACCCATCTGGTGTGTCCACATGTACAAGTCACCCTTGCTCCTTAGTTGGGCTTCCAAAATGCTACCTCAGCCGTGATGGGAAGTTGCTTGACAGATGTTAAGTCACTAACTCAGAACAGAAAGGATAGGGGAAAATCCATGATACCCTTTCTCTCATGGTATATTAGACCTTAGGATATTTATATCCTATAGCTATGTTACCCAGATGATCAGATTGTTAGTATAATAATGCAGGTTGAATCATTTGAAAAAACCTGTAATTGACCATTTTTTATTTCCTACAATTCAATTTAATCTTTCAATTCTTTCTTCTTGTTCCAATAATTATGAAATTAGATTTCTCTCACCTTTTGCATAGATTATCAGCATCACTCACTTATTGAACGGAAATTTGCAGTTTATTTATTTTTTTAATGTTTATTTTTGAGAGACAGAGCACAAGTGGGGGGAGGGAGGGCAGAGAGAGACAGAGACACAGAATCTGAAGCAGGCTCCAGGCTCTGAGCTGTCAGCACAGTGCCTGATGTGGGGCTCAAACCCACAAACTGTGAGATCATGACCTGAGCCAAAGTCTGATGCTCAACCAACTGAACCACCCAGGCGCCCTGGAAATTTGCAATTTAGAATTTAGTCTTCTGTCCAGACCAGTCCAACTAATTCTTAAAGGACCTGTGCTGCCCTGTCCCAGCAGCCTCTGATAGACATTGCTGACAAGCCTGAACAGCACAACTAAACTACCCTTAGACCAGATGCAGCGGTCACATTCTCAGTTATGTCCCCTTTAGCCTGTAGATTGACTAGTTGGGCCATTTTTACAAAGGATTGTGAAAATTACTGGATTATAAAATAGTTGACGACGCGTTTTCTGATATTCATCCAGGAGGCAATTTATATTTATTGGGTATCTGTGATGTACAAGGAATGGTGAGTCAATGTCAGGAACAATAAAACAAATCAGATGCCAGTTCTGTCCTCTAGGGACTTACAGTATTACTGGAGGACCAAAGCATGCAACAGAAATAAATACAAGGCAATAACACATGGCAGCAAGCAGTAAGTGCTGTGAAGGAAGTACCAACAGAGTAATCCAGTAGCTTGGCAAAGACAGACCCTGTTCTCATATGAAGGAATCCAGAAATGCTCCAAGCTGGAGGTGGCAAACTGTCCATGAAGTTGGGCCTCCAATGGGCCATGAACGGCAGTAGCATCTGAATCATAACCATCAGAACTCCAATT